GCATCGGCAGGCGGACCCTCAACCACTGCGCCACCAGGGAAGCCCAAGCATTTTTATTATTTAAATGAGAAAATGCTAGTTGCCTACAATGCTTGGCACATAGTAGGCACTCAATAAATATTTGCAAAAGAATGAATTATTGATGTATTTTTACATAATCTTTTGAACATTGTTTTTAATGGGCCAAGTAGCTATACCATAGTTGACTTAACCATTACCCTATTGCTAGATATTAGGTTGTTTCTAATTTTTTTCTGTCTTAAAAATACATTGAATATTTTGATATAGATCACTTTTCTAGGTGCATATAGATTTTTCTGTGTATAAGATTATTTTTTTAGTCTCAGAAGTGATTATAGGTCAAGTTAATTATTAGAACTCTTGGTGCAAGGGACAAAAATACAGGAGAAATGTTTTGTCTAATTTAGCTGGGGAGTAAATTTAGCTTCCACCAGGGCTGGATCAGGTGCTCAGTTTATGCCTTCAGGGCTTTGGTCGCTTGTTTATGCAGGCTCTTCTTTTGCTTCCCTCTGGCTTACTCTTGCCACCTGGTGGTAAAGATGAGCATTGGTAACTTTTTGTAGTTTATAATCCTGACAAAAGGCATGAGAAAGTTGATTTGATTTAGCTAGCATCTTGTGTCTGTCCCTGAACCAATCAATTGTTGTGGCCCGGGGAATGAAGTAATTTGATTGACTACGCCTGTGTCATGTGCCCACAGCTGGGGGTCAGATCAGCTCCGACCAAATTACAAGGACTGACCAGATTATTTTAGAACGTAGGGAAGGTGGTTCTCCCAGAAAAAGACCTTGGACAGACAAGGAAAAGGATTTAATTTTATTAAATATTTTTATCAGTCTTGATAGCCATTGCTAAATGGTTTCTAAAGATTTGTGTTAGCCTCAGAAATATTTCTTATTTTGCTATACTCATATCAACATTGGATATTATCTTCTAAATATTTTGCTAATTTAATAGATTAAAAATGTCACCTTTTTTATATTTACTTTTTTCACTTATCATAATTATTTTCTGTAACTAACTTAAATGGCTGCTTACTCCTTTGTTTCTTTGGCTGCGTTGGGTCTTCTTTGCTGTGCGCAGGCTTTCTCTAGTTGGGGCGAGCAGGGGCTACTCTTCGTCGCAGTGCGTGGGCTTCTCATTGCGGTGGCTTCTGTTGTTGCGGAGCACGGGCTCTAGGCGCGTGGGCTTCAGTAGTTGTGGCTCACGGGCTCTAGAGCACAGGCTCAGTAGTTGTGGCGCACGGGCTTAGTTGCTCTGCGGCATGTGGGAGCTTCCCGGACCAGGGATCGAACCCATGTCCCCGGCATTGGCAGGCGGATTCTTAACCACTGCGCCACCAGGGAAGTCCCTGTTGACTCTTCTTTGAAAAATTTATCATAATTTACCAAGCTGTTTTCCAATTATTCGTCGTTTAGATTGTTTCGTAATTTTTATTTTTAACCTTGGTAGGTAATAATACTGCAAGTTCTTTTTTTTACATCTTTATTGGAGTATAATTGCTTTACAATGGTGTGTTATTTTCTGCAAGTATTTTTATATGCCATAGATTTTTGCCTCTACTGAGTTTTTCTTTTGGAAAAATTCCAATGGTGATATTCTTGCATCAAAGGTATAAACATTTCTATGCCCTTTGTTTTCAAAGAATTTTACCAACTTGTATTTTTACCAGTATTATATAAATGTAGTTGTTGTATTACATCTCTACTAACATTAAACACTATTTTAAAAAATATTTGTTAGTTGATTAGGTATAAAAAGTGATTTCAAATTGTTTTTTTGTTTTTTAAAATAAATTTATTTATTTATTTATTTTTGGCTGTGTTGGGTCTTCATTGCTGCATGTGGGCTTTCTCTAGTTGCAGCGAGCAGGGGCTACTCTTGTTGGCGGAGCCTGGGCTCTAGACGCGCGGGCTTCAGTAGTTGTGACACGCGGGCTCCATGGCATGTGGGATCTTCCCGGACCAGGGATCGAAACCATGTTCGATCCCTGCAGAGGCAGGCGGATTCTTAACCACTGCGCCACCAGGGAAGTCCTCAAATTGTTTTAATTTGCAGTTTTAAATTAATGAAACCTTTTTCAGTGAATCTCCAACTCTTCTCCTTACTGTGTTATTTAGAGTGTGAATACCAGACATGCCCTGTGCCTTATTTTATTTCTTCTTCTTGTGCTCAGGTCTGGTCCATCGAACTCACATGTCATCCTGTCGCGTGGATAAGCCCTCTGAGATAGTAGATGTCGGAGACAAAGTGTGGGTGAAGCTTATTGGACGAGAGGTAAAGTTCTGTGTAGTTGTAACTCGTTAGAAAGGATTAGGAAAACCTGGGATTTTCTTAGTATTTCATGATCATATTTCATGAGTGTGTATGCATTGTTAACCGTGGCTGATAATCTTATTTTTGAATCCTGCCACTATAATCTGACTTGAATTTAAACCTTTGGGCTGTCTGTCATGCAAACTCAGAAGGAATGGTGTGAACTGTATGTAATAAGTGTGGTGCAATAAGTACATGTTTATAAAACTTCCTTCCCTGAAGCTCACCCACATGGTGGGTGTGGAGAAAATACCAAAAAAGTAAAGACCCAAAAAGAGAGAAGAAAACTTAATCGATGAGACTATCTTTTAGTAGAAATCTTCCAGATGCACTTCAATTTGGACCAAAGCAAAAAGGGGCATAGAGTTTACAGTCATTTTTTCCTCATACCTGGCACCATGCAATGTGAGGGAAATGAGAAAGCACTGGAGGATCCTGTTAACAGCAACTCACTTGAGGGTCTGCGGGTGTGGACAGACCACAGGAGAGGTGTGCACATACACTGAGACCTGCTCTTTTACCAGAGAATGGCAGGGGAGACAGGCCTGAAAGAGATATTATTCGACAGTATTTGAGTGCTTATTATGTACTAGGTCTGAGGGATACAAGAATCAGATGTAAATGACTCCAGTGGTTATGGAACTTATATAGATTATAACTGGAGGAGACAAATAAAAAGTAAGCAAGCTAAAATAATTAAAAATAATTATAAGTTATAGTAAGTGCTCTAATAGGTTCAAATAATGTGGAGGTAGATTTAGATAAAGTGGTCAGGAACGGGCTTCCTGCGGGGGTGGTATATGAGCTGAGACCCAAAGAAAGAGGAACTAGTCATGTGAAATGTTAGGAAAAGAATATTCCAGGCAAAGAGAATAGCTGATACAAAGACCCCAAAGTGAAGAGGGCCTTCAAATGCTGGAGGAAGCAAAAGAAGACCAATGTGCCTAACAACTGTCTTCACATTTAAAGATGCTTTTAATTGTTTTCGTGGTTTTTTGTTTGTTTGTTTTCTGTTTTTTTTGCGGTACGCAGGCCTCTCACTGTTGTGGCCTCTCCCGTTGCAGAGCACAGGCTTCGGACGCGCAGGCTCAGTGGCCATGGCTCACGGGCCCAGCCGCTCCGCGGCATGTGGGATCTTCCTGGACCGGGGCACGAACCTGTGTCCCCTGCATCGGCAGGCAGACTCAACCACTGTGCCACCAGGGAAGCCCCTGCTTTCATGTTTAAGAAGCTTTTAGACGAAGTCCAAAAGGATATCTAGTCCACTGGAACATTCTGAAACCTATTCTGTGCTCATGGATCTCTGAACAGATTATTATGCTGAACTATCTAAAAGAAACAGCTTTTATTTTCTTCCTGGTTACTTCCACAGGCTCCAGATTTCTGAGCAACCATTTTTGTCTTTCCCCCCAGGAGGGTCAAGAATGATAAGAAAACCATTTCCTAAAATGATTTTGCCATAGGATCTGCCTGTTATGCTTATTAGTACCCACAATGTTCCTAGCACAGGACCTTGGCCATAAGAGGAACTCAGTGTTTGTTACATGATAAAAACTTCAATTCTTAAATAATTTTAGACCAGCCGTCTAAATGATGTACTTTGAGCTTTTGCTGACTTTGCTTTTGTTTTTTTCAGATGAAAAATGATAGGATAAAAGTATCCCTCTCCATGAAGGTTGTCAACCAAGGGACTGGGAAGGACCTTGACCCCAACAACGTTATCATTGAGTAGGTAAAATGTTTGGAAAGACTAAAATCCTTCTACTTCTCAAACCATAGAATGCTGTAGTGAATCAGGCCCACCTGGGAACTCTCCTATTTGTAGACTATGATATTGATGAGTTATGTGACCTTTGTGAGCTTTGGTTTTTAGAGGTATAAAGTGTTATAGATAACACATTACTGCATAGAGTTCTAAGATGAAATGCTAACATGCACCTCCTAGTATAGAAGTGCACTGTCAGTGGTTTCATTTTCTTCCCCTTATTCTTTTTCTGCTTCTGACCTTTAACCAGTTAGCCAACAAGCATTCATCATGAGGTATTTGTTATTCGCCTTCTCCTAGCTCTGGGACTGAAAAAAGGCAGAGACCATGTAGGAGGAATAACTCCAGTGGGGTTTTAGACTCCTGCATCTTGGGATATGCTGTGTTCTGAACACAGCACCTTACTTTCACTGGCTCTTCTGACCTTTCATTTATGAATGGAAAATTTTCTCTGTAGGATACTGTCTGGTGATATAGGGAATTTGCTATCTCAAAATCTTTCTTGAATACAGGCATACTTTGGAGATACTGTGGGTTCGGTTCTGGACCATCACAATAAAGCAAATATCTTAATAAAGTGAATCACATGAATTTTTTGGTTTCCCAGTGCATATAAAAGTAATGTTTACACTATATTGTAGTCTATTAAGTGTGCAATAGCATAATGTCTAAAAAACAGTGTATGTACCTTAATTAAAAAATACTTTATTGCTTAAAAAATGCTCAAACAATGACAGTAGTAACATCAAAGATCTCTGATCAGAGATCACCATAACAAATATAATAATAATAATAATGAAAAAGTGTGAAATGTTGCAAAATTACCAAATTTGATACAGAGACATAAAGTGAGCAAATACTGTTGGAAAAATAGTGCCAGTAGACTTACTCAACTCAGGGTTGCCACAGACCTTCAAATTGTAGAAAACACAATATCTGTGAAGCTCAATAAAACGAGGGTATACCTGTATATGCCAGTGTTTCTAACCAGGGGTTCCTAGGTCACTAATATCCCTTGAAGGAGTCTTGGGGGTTTATGAACTGTTTCAAGTATTTCAGAAAGCCAACTAAATAATCATACATTTATCCTCAGGTTAACCATGACATTATTTCACTGCTTCTGATGATAAATATCACATTCTTTATCTCATGCTAATTGGGTGCTCTTAATGGCCATCATGTTATTGATTATTTTTTTTTAATAAGAAAAAAATAATAAATGTTGTTTGAGTGGGATCTTGGCGACACAATGTTTGGAAACCCTTAGGTTTATAGTTCTGAGCAAAATCATTTTGGATAAGAAGGAAATTTACCTAAAAGGAAGGGAAATGATATTTATTGAATACATACTATGTGCCAGGCATTATGCCAGGTGGTTTGTGTACATCAATGCATCTAATTTTCATAACAACCTGCAAAGTGGGTGTTATCTCCATTTTACTTTATTTTTTTAGTTTTAGCTTGATGCTTGGTGATAACTTGCCTGTGGTTATATAACACTTTCCATTTACATTAGAAATCTTTTATAACTCTGAGCTCAGAAATGTTATTTAAGTCTGGCATTTACTGATTGCATTGTAATAAATTACTTCTGCTCCAAAGAATCCTGTCTATACAGACTCATTAAAAGCAGTGAAATTTCCCAAAGCCACCCTCATAAGGATAAAATACAAAACAAGTAAGATAAAAGAGCTACTTCTCTTTCTCACAACAAGGGAGGGGAAGGAAAAGGACCCCCTGGTTTTCTGATGAATGTGTCTTTATGTATGGACTACTTCTAGTAATGACTAAGTGACCGAACAGTAACTTTTGTTGTAAACTATTTCTAGACTGCATCTAGGAAAGAAGCATGGTGTAGTGGAATGATGACAGGTTTTAGAGTTAGACTTGAATCAGAAAGAGTCCTAGTTCTGCCACAAGCTAGTATACCACCCTGAGCAGATTCGCTAGCCTCTTTGAACCTCAGCTTCTTCAAATGGAGGTAATGATACCTACATCTTAGAAATGATGGTATGATTAAATGAAATCTTGTTTATAAAGAGCCTAATTGTCTAATCTATAGTAGAAACTTAACATATAGTGGCTACTTGTAGTTATTGTTTTAAAATGTTTCTTTGTTTTTCCTCTAATATCTGAGATGATCATACCCTTTCTTTTGAAAGGATATATAAAACCCATGAGGCAGAGGCCACATCTTATCTCCCATAGTACCTAATGTATAGTAGTCGTTAAGTTAGTGCATCCATTTACTCATTATTCAACAAATATTTACTGGGCTCATATTCTATTTGAGGTATAATGGCAATACCAAGGTTTCTGCCTAAGGACCTTACTGCCTAGTGTAATGAGATAATTATGCAAATAACTTTAATTTTAAGGCAACATGTAATAAATGTTAAAAGAGTGTTTTAAAGGAAGGATTCTAGGAATTAGCTTGAAGAGGAAGAGTTGATATTAGGCCCTGATGGTCAGAGAAGAGGTGGCAACTGAGTTAGGTCTTGAAGAATGGATAAGATTTTGTCAGGCAGCAGGGGGAAGAATAGTATTCCAGGCAGAAGAAATAGTTTGAGGAAAGGCATGAGGCAGGAAAGCACATGGCAATTCATGAGTCTTATTTAAGGAAAGAAGAGGGTATGGTCAGGTACTAGAATGTAGGGCTTGAAAGATACCTTGGGGTCAGATTGTGAACAGCTTTGAATAGCAGTCAAAGAATATGAATGTTTTTTAAAGCCTTTGAGTGGGAGAGACTCCTGAGCAGATTATTCTCTCCAGGTACCCCATTCTCTGGCCTCACCCTGTTAGGCTCAGTATCTTCATGCTGTCTCCAGCTACACACAGTTTGTCAACTACCTTTCATTTTTCATCAAAATCTAGCTGTCTTATATTTCATTCCCTCAGGCCCCAAAATATTAACGAGGTCATCTAATAAGTGAATCTGCAAATGGAAAGGGGTTAAATGCAGTGTCCAGTTAGGTTTAGCCAGCATAGTATAGTCTTTAAAAAGAGCATTTATGTATCGCCACACTGTAATTATCCATTTATATATCTCTTTCCACTGGTAGACTATCTACCATGTCCTATCATTTTAATGTACTTACTCATATCATTGTACTAGCACTGGTGCTTGCCACTTATTAAACTTAAAAAAAAAAAAGAAAGATTAATCCAACTATGTGTGCTGGATGGATTAGAGGCAGGGAGACCAGTAAATGAATTATTACTGTTTAGGTGAAATGTAATGAAGCCTAAACTAGCATGATGGCAATAAGGACAGGAAGGGAGACAGGTGGTGAGTGACACATTTGTTGAATTGGGTGTTAGGTGGGAGGTATGATTTGGCTTATAGTATGTTTGAATCTGCAGTGTATTGGAATTCATTATAATGAGGGTTTGATTAAGCTGCAACTCATAGTCACTTGAAACTCAGTTCTACAAATAAGGACATCCGAAAACAATGGAGTTTTCGTGACTGTTCAAGTTATGTCCCCAAGATCCTGCCTTGGTGGGGTTTTCTGTTTGTTTGTTTAATTTTATTTTATTGTGGTGAGAACATTTAACATGAGATCTACCCGCTTAAGAAATATTTAAGTGTATAATAGTATTGTTGACTATACATACAATATTGTACATTAGATCTCCAGAACTCACTCATCTTCCTTAACTAAAACTTTATGCCTGTTGTTAAGTAACTCACTCACATTTACTTCTCCACTCTCCTCACCTTGGTTTTTGTTATTCAAGCTTCACCCTTTGAACTGACCCTCTCGCATGACCCATACCAGACAGTAGACCTCCTATCATTTGACTAAGATTCTTCTAGGGCAAAAGCTAGGGATTTGAACAGACAGTTTCAGAACTTAAACCATATGCTTTTCTGGTGTGTCCCAACTGGGAAGCCACTAGTCACATAGGCTATTTAAATGTAAAGTAATTAAAAGTAAATAAAATTTGGGGGCTTCCTTGGTGGCGCAGTGGTTAAGAATCCGCCTGCCAATGACAATGACAGTGGCAGACAAAATAAATAAAATAAATAAATTTATTTTTTAAAAATAGTAAATAAAATTTGGTATCCAATTCCTCAATCACTAACCACATTTGAAGTGCTCATTAGCCATAGACATAAAGTCAGACATAAATAGTCAGCAGTACAGACATAAATTTATAGAACTGTCCATCTTTGCATTCTTTTGGACAACAGTATGCTAGATGGTGTGCTCTCTGCTCAGATATAGAGAAGAACATGACATAGACTTTACTATTCATGTCCTGGTTGTGGTACAGAGGGTGAGGCAAAATGTAAACAAATCAGTAAAATAAAGTGAGTATTTAACTCTGCTTGTGGTAGAGTTTATAGAAGATACGATATTTGAGCTGAACTTTAAAGAATGAATGGGACAGAATATGGAGTATCTTTATCCTCTCTGTTTTTTCTCTTGAGCCCACATATCCCATGAAACTGTTGGCTGAAATTTGTGAAGTGAGTAGCTCTGTTTTGCTTTGATATTGTTATCCTGCATTTTTCTGGGTAATGTGGCTCTTTTGGCAGAATATTTCTGTTTTTGCTGGACTCTACAGAGACCTGGTTGGAAAATCTTAGGTGAAGTCAGAGGTCAAAGTTAAAGACGTTCAGGTAAAGAAAAATATTTTGGATGAAGAACAAAGAAATTTCAACAAGCTTTCTTTTTTTAATTTTTAAAAATATATTTTATTTATTTATTTATTTTTGGCTGCGTTGGGTCTTCGTTGCCGCGCATGGCCTTTCTCTAGTTGCGGCGAGCGGGGGCTACTCTTCGTTGCGGTGCATGGGCTTCTCATTGTCATGGCTTCTCTTGTTGCGGAGCACGGGCTCTAGGCATGTGGGCTTAAGTAGTTGTGGCTCACGGGCTCTAGAGCACAGGCTCAATAGTTGTGGCGCTCGGGCTTAGCTGCTCTGCGGCATGTGGGATCTTCCCGGACCAGGGATCGAACCCATGTCCCCGGCACTGGCAGGCAGATTCTTAACCACTGCGCCACCAGGGAAGCCCCAACAAGCATTTTTTGATGCTGTTGCTTGCCAAGCCTTGGGCTGAGGTGCCAGGGAAACAAACACAAGTAAGATACTTTTTAAACAGGCCCACGATCTAGAGAAGAAACAACTCTGTGGTGTGATTTGTGCTAGGATTGACATGTGTATAGGATACAGTTAGAGTTTGAAAGGAAGAATGATCAGGAGTGATACTCTTCAATTAAACATTTTCTAAGAGTACTCTGTGCAGGTACTGTGTGTTATAGTAAAGGTAAAAAATAAGAGCTATGACAACTAGGGTACTTTGGCTGTTCTGGTAGGAGTGTAATTGGTAAACACACTGTCTGGCAGTGTCTACTAAGGCAGATGCCCTACAACCCAGTAGTTCCCATCCTACGTGGAACTAGGCATTTCCCAAAGGAATGCATATACATACATATGTTCACCAAAAGACGTGTGCTAGAAAGTTCACAGAAGCACTTTCATAATGGAAATTACTCAGATACCCATCAACAGCAAAATACTTTGCAGCAATGAGAATAGTTGATCCACAACTACACACAACAGTTGGTTGGATCTCACAAAGTAGCGAAAGGAGCCAGACACAGAAGGGCCCATTCTCTGATTCTGTTGATATAATTTACAAAAATAGATAAAACTAATCTATGCTGTTAGAAACTAGAATAGTAGCTACCCTTGGGGGAAGCACCGTGACTAGAGGGGCTTCGGAGGTGCTGGTGATATTCTGCATCTTTATCTGAGTACTGGTTACTGGGATATTTCAAATTGTAAAAATCAGTGAAGCTGTATACTTGTGAACACTTTTCTGTATGTATTTTATACTTTGGTCAAATGTTTAGAATTTTTACAAAGTGTCGTGGGAATGTGAACAGAGATTAATTCTGGCTGAGGGGCTCAGGGAAGATAACTGGTTAGAAGGAGGGGCAGTAACTAAGCTGAGCCTTGAAACGTTTGGGTGTAGTTAGGTGGTGAAGTGGGAGTAAAGAGGGGAAGCAGAGCATTTCAGAAAGAGGGAGCTGCCTGAGCAGAAGCAGTGAACCATCTGGGGAAGGTAAAATAGTCTGGTTTGCCTTGAGCATATTGTACAAGATGAGGCTGGGAAAGTAAGTTAGAGACAGACTGTGAAAGGCCTGGAATACGAAGGAGCTTGGACTTGATTTTCTAAGAAGTTTTTGAAGGTCTTTTAAACCCAGGAGTGACCTTGTAAGGATTGCAGGGGGCTTAGCAAGGTGAGTAATTATATCTTCATCCCCTGTGCATCAGTGAGATGGAATCTAGTCTCATTCATAATTATTAATTCAGAGCCTTTTCCTGAATGAAAAAAATTGTCATTTCATATCATTTCTTTCACTGCCTGTTTCCTTATGCCCAGTGCTTTTCCTTTCTCCCTTCTACCTGACAAAACAAACAAAAAAACAACATGGAGTATTAACTTGTAGTATCTCTATCTCTTAAAAGGGCCAACAGTCAGTATCATTTCATTACAGGCAAGAAGAGAGGCGGAGGCGGTCCTTCCAGGATTACACTGGGCAGAAGATCACCCTCGAGGCTGTCCTGAACACTACCTGCAAGAAGTGTGGCTGTAAAGGTAAGGCGAAGTCCCTATCATTTCAGATTTTCTCTCCTTGTGGATGGACCCTTTACGGGATGCGGGAGGCCCCCTGGTGTGAGTTAGCTCACTGTGGTTTTTAGCCAAATGCTGGCCTCCCCTGCTCATCTGCTGTTCCTACTAGACTCACATCGGAGTTCATGGCTTGTTGCTTTTTCTGTTTCCTTTTCTGAATGGTGGCCCTGCCAGATACTACACCACCACTACACTACTCCCCTCTCTCTACGGGTGATGCCCTGCCTGGGCAAGGTCCCCATGTACTATGCCAGGAGAGGTAAGAGTGTTGGATTATGATTAACACTCTAAATTTTTTTCTCTAAGGATGATTATTGTTCTGCTGCAAAAATTAAGTGACTTGGAAATATATTCCTTAAGGATCCAAGTCAAGCTCTTTCTTCCTTATTACCTTTAACTTCAGAGTTCTGAATACAGTATCTTTTTAGTAATAAAGAATACAGGCTAGTCACTTCCTTTTAGCTTTGTTTCTTCAAGTTTCCTCCAGTCCTACTCAAATATTAAAGAGCTCTTTCAGCCTGACTTCCCTTGTTGGAGCTATAATGAGAGGTATTGCCGGCTTCTCGTTTTCAGAGTGACCTCAATTTGTCACCCCTTCTCCCTAGCCTTTCACCTACCCAGCTCTCTTGATTTTTCTACAATGAGTGGTAGCAGATTTGTGCCCTGGTTGAGGTCGTGGGGTTTAAGCCCCAATTTGTCATTAATGTAGAGGGAGGAAGGGAAAAATAAAATAGAAAGAATACTTCCTCATGAGTATTGTGGGACCATTTCCAGCATAGATATTTGGAAAACTCTATGCTGTATTCTCCTTCCAGGCACCATCCGGCTTCTGGACTCCAAGTTGCAAAGTAGTTTACACATAGCTTTTTGATGACTTCGTCAAATGCTTTGTGCCCCTGAGAGAGGGTCTACAAAAAGCTCAGACAAAACCAGCTGTGTAGCATCTGTTAAAGGGCCCCTTAATAGCAGTGTAGGCTCAGGGAGGGTGGGGTTCTCTTACCTTCAACTTGTGTCCACCAGGTGTTACATGAGGCAGAGAAGAATAATGAGAGATGGAATTTGGCCCAGGCAGGCCAAAGGTGGTTGGTTTTGATGCAGCAGAAAGAGCACAGGGCAGGGAGGTATGAGACCTGGGGTAAGTTTTAGCTCTGCTGCTGTCTGTGTGACCTTGAGGTACTTCTCTACTCTGGGCCTTCATGTCCTCTGCAAATGCAGTGTTGGATTTGATGATCTCTCAGACCCTTGCCAGACCTGACAGTCTGTGAATGTTGAGTGCCCCTAGGTGACTGCTGTCTTTCTGTGTGTTAGCTTGAATCTGAGTGCTGCCTTCCTGCTTGCTGCCTAAGAGCTGTCTTCCTTTGGGGCTTGGCCTGCCACTCGGCTCCCTCTGCTAAGTATTCTGCTCTCTGGAGCAGCCTTTCATTGTCAGGAATAAGTTCCAAATAGACCTTTAAAAATTCCAGAGCCCAGTTGCTAATGGAGGGCAGCACAAGCCTGTGCCCTCACGTCCTATGCCATTTCCAAAGCCGTGCCAGTGTTTCCCACAGCTCTAGGACCAGATGCTTGACTGGCTCTGGTTAAGTGAGCAATGCCATCTTGAGGTGACAGAAAATCTGCTCTGAAGGCAACAGCTGCTCTGAATGAACTCATTAGTACCTCCTGAACGAGCCAGCCCTTCAGGAACTTCTAGGGAAGATCCACCTGCTAAGGTGAGAGACTGCCTCTTCCCTCCCTACCTTTTCTACTTCTCTTCTGCAGGCCACTTTGCAAAGGATTGTTTCATGCAGCCAGGTGGGACCAAGTACTCTCTGATACCTGATGAGGAAGAGGAGAAGGAGGAGGCAAAGTCAGCAGAGTTTGAAAAGCCTGACCCCACGAGAAATTCTTCTAGAAAAAGAAAGAAGGTGAGTGCTGTCTTTATTTTATTTATCATATTGAGTTTTAAAATAAAAATATACTTTCTGCAGAAATTTTAGAAATACTGAAAAACATAAAGAACATTAGGATCTCTTGTAATCTTTCCACCCAGTGAGACTCTTATAGTACTTTTGGTATATTCTAATATTTTTTCTAGGTAAATATATACATACATATAATATAAATATATATATAATTTTCTAGGGAAGTGTATATATAATTTTCATATACGTATGTGTTTACATATAAACACACAATCATTGTCATACTAGGTATAGTTTATATCCTACTTTTTTCATTATGTTTATCAAAAGCGGGCTTCCCTGGTAGCGCAGTGGTTAAGAATCCGCCTGCCAATGCAGGGGACACGGGTTCGAGCCCTGGCCTGGGAAGATCCCACATGCCACGGATCAACTAAGCCCGTGCGCCACAACTACTGAGCCCGCGTGCTGCAACTACTGAAGCCCGTGCACCTAGAGCCTGTGCTCCGCAACAAGAGAAGCCACTGCAATGAGAAGCCCGCGCACCACAACGAAGAGTAGCCCCCACTCGCCGCAACTGGAGAAAACCTGCGTGCAGCAATGAAGACCCAACGCAGCCAAAATAATAAAATATATACATTTATATTTATCAAAAGCATTTTCTAGTATCCTTAAGTGTTCTTCAAAAACTTGACATAAGAGCACCATATGATATTCTACCCTATGGCTATATGATGGTTTATTTAATAATTTTTCTATTGTGGGATATTTTTGATTACTTCCAACCTAAATCTTTGGCCATATCTCTTATTGCTTTCTTCGGATAAATTCTTAAGTAAGATTACTGAGTTAGGGCTTTAAGACTCTTGATACATCTTATCAAATTGTCTTTCCAGAAAGTACTTATTTTACACCCAGCAGAGGATAAGAGTGCCTGTCTGAGTTGTATCTTCCATCTACTACTTCTAGCAAAACAATTAATAAAACAGACATTAGGGCTTCCCTGGTGGCGCAGTGGTTGAGAGTCCACCTGCTGATGCAGGGGACACGAGTTCGTGCCTTGGTCCGGGAAGATCCCACATGCCGCGGAGCGGCTGGGCCCGTGAGCCATGGCCGCTGAGCCTGCGCGTCTGGAGCCTGTGCTCCGCAATGGGAGAGGCCACGACAGAGAGGCCCACGTACCGCAAAACAAACAAACAAACAAACAAAAACAGACCTTATTGTGGTGCAGGAAAAAAACAGTGCATTTGTAGCATAAAACATAGAGAGGAAATGAAAAAAAACTATGCTATAGTTTGGTCAGAAATAGTTGTTCTCATATAGTATAGTGTTTTTCTTTTTTTTTCTTTTTTTTTTTTTGGCCACACACCACAGCATGTGGGACCTTAGTTCCCCGACCAGGGATCCAACCTGCGCACCCTGCATTGGAAGGCAGAGTCTTAACCACTGGACTGCTGGGGAAGTCCCTAGTGTAGCAGTTTTCTAATTGTGGCTGGTTATTAACTTTTGGGTTTTTTTGGTTTTGTTTTTTCAAAGCTTTGGCAAACTTTTATTGAGTGGTCATTTTATTCCAGGCATTGCAAACCTAGGAATATAAAAACTGTGATAAGGTCCTTGCCCTCAGTGGGCATTATCTACAAATTCAGTATTATCTTCATTTTTTAGATGAGGAGGAAGGTCCATTGTACTATTATTAAGAATTGCCCCAAGTATATGGATAATAATATATCGATCTGTATATTCTTTCCCTGGGTGATCACATCCCTCCTAAGACTTCAGCTGCCCTGACCACTTTCACATCACTAAGTAATATCCCACTGGTACTTCAGACTTTGGCTTGGAGTCAATCAGACGTAGGTTGAGGCCCTTCTGTGCTACTTAACCAGCTATATAACTTTGGGCTCAAAGTAGGATCGTTGTGCTCCTTGAACAACCAAAACCCTTGTTTCTATCCTTCTACCTCGTATTACTAGTTTTACTGACAGCAGTAACCTCCCAGTCTCCCAAGAAAGAAACAATATGTAATTAATTTTCTTCTCCTTACTATCCCATGCCTAGTCAGTCACCAAGTCCTGTCCATGGTACCTTATAATATCCCAATTCTGTTCCTTCCTCCCACTCCCACTACTACTGTGCATTTCACCTGCTTCCCTCTCTCACTTATATTCAGACTATTGAATTAGCCTAGGGAGATTTTAAAACTACATATTTGCCTTCTACCTCTTGAGTACCAAGTTCACAGGGCCTGGGTCTGGGCATCTGATTTTTTTGAAAGAGCACCTTCTTTATCTCACTGCTCGATTCTCTTCATTAATATGATTTTTTGCCCTCTGCTTTAATTCTGAATGTGGACTGCTTGAGGCTGTGTCTATTTTTATTACTCCCTTCTCTTCTCTGACTACCTTCTCCGTAAGTGATCTCATCCTGTCCAGTGGTTTTGAATACCATTTATATGCTAATAATCCCCCAATTAAGTATATGTATCCTTTTTTAAATCCAAGTCTGTAATTCTCCAAGTCTGTAATTCTATCTCTAACTTTTTCTCTGGAACTTCAAATTTAGATACTCAGCTGCCTATTTGACATCTCCATCTGATTGTCGAGTTGACATCAAGCTTAGCACACTCCAAAACTCTTCCATGTTCCTCCTACCCAAGGCTGCTCCCTTCATATTCCTCCCTATCTCAATGAATGGGTCACCAGTTGCTGAAACCAAAATCTGCAGCCTTTGGGTATAGTGTTGTTATTGTTCTAATTGTAGTAAAAGATATGTAACAGAAATTTTACTGTCTTAATCTTTTTTTTTTTGGCGGGAGGCCGTGCTGCACAGCTTGTGGATTTTAGTTCACCAACCAGGGATTGAACTCACCCCCTCGGCAGTGAGAGTGCGGAGTCCTAACCACTGGACCACCAGGGAATTACCCCATCTTAACCGTTTTTAAGTGTACAGTTCTTTGGCATTAAGTAAATTCATATTATTGTGCAATCATCTCCACCATCCATCTCTAATACTCTTTTCCTTTTTTTTTTTTTTTTTTTTTGGCTACGTTGGGTCTTCGTTGTGGTGCACGGGCTTCTCATTGCGGTGGCTTCTCTTGTTGGGGAGCACAAGCTCTAGGCGCGTGGGCTTCAGTAGTTGTGGCTCGCGGGCTTAGTTGCTCCGCAGCATGTGGGATCTTCCCAGACCAGGGATCGAACCCGTGTCTCCTGCATTGGCAGGCGGATTCTTAACTACTGTGTCACCAGGGAAGTCCCTCTAGTACCCTTTTCATTTTGTAAAACTGAAACTCTATACCCATTAAATAATAACT